CTTTCGCTCATCGCCATTACGTCATCGTCGTTATCATATGACGATGATGATCGCCGTCATCATCATCGTCATGGTTTTCGCAATCACCATCATCATCATCACTATCGTTTTCATCTTCATCGTCATCTCTTTCTTCTTCATTGTCTTCTTTCTCTTCTTCATCGTCATCATCATCTTTTTCATCACCTTCTTCTTCTTCTTCTTCATCGTCATCTTCTTCATTGTCTTCTTTCTCTTCTTCATCGTCATCATCATCTTTTTCATCACCTTTTTCTTCTTCTTCATCGTCATCTCCTTCATTGTTTTCTTTCTCTTCTTCATCGTCATCATCATCTTTTTCATCATCATCTTCTTCTTCTTCTTCTTCATCGTCAGCATCGTCATCATCTTCTTCATCGTCATCATCTTCATTGTCATCATCTTCTTCATCGTCATCATCTTCTTCTTCATCGACTTCTTCATCTTCCTCTTCATTCTGATATTACGAAAACAGCGCAGCACAAAACGTGATATAATAAAAGACGCGCAAGAAGCGTTCTATAAATCACTAATGTATCAAGGAGGGGCCTAATGTAATGTTATTGTTTATATGTGCAGTGCACACACACACACTTTCACATTACACACACACGAACACATACTACAAACAAACACACACATACAAACACACCACACACTTACACACATGAACAAATACCGTACTCAGACAACACACACTAACACCACACACACGTACCACACGCACACCCTACGTAATGCTCCAGATTGTATCACATACACACGTACACACACACACATACCAATTACACACATACACACACACATCTTTAGGCACATTATCACAATAGTGTCGATGATGACGTTGATGATGACCCTGTTTTCTGTGTTGTGCTTGATGAGAATTGATAGTGATGATGGTGAAGAGGAAGATGATGAGAAAAATGATGATGATGAAGAATAGGATGGGATGATGATGATGATGATGATGAAGATGACTGCGGTGGTGGTGGTGAAGAAGATGATGATGATAGTGGTGGTGGCATGACGAAGAACATGATGATGATAATGATGACAAGGATGATGATGGTGGTGGTGAAGAGGAGTAGGAAATTGATTGGATGAACAAAATGATGGCTACGCTGGGTATATAAATATGTTGACAATTAATTACGACGAGATAATTAATTTTGAAATTTTTCGCATCGATTTTTTCTCTTGTATTTTCTCTCAATCACTCTTTCTCTTTTCTTTCTACTCTCTCTTTCTCTCTCTCTCTCTCTCTCTCTCTTTATGGTTATTGCAAGCATCCAAAAATTTTGGACCATTAGAAGCAATTAATATATACAATAAGAAACATATAACGTTCTTAATGGGAATACTGCAAAAAATAATTATTTCTATGACAATAAAGATGATAGTTTAGATTGGGCGATGATGAAGATGCTGACGACGACGATCATAATATTAATTATTGATAACTCTTATGTTGGATTGATGATGACGATGATGAAAAAATATGAGGATTAGGTTGGCCATGTGACAATGATAGATGATGGTGGTGATGATGATGATGATGAT